AGTGTCATTTTGGGGATAGGAAAATAACACCACAAAGGAAAACTTGGAAATTTCTGGTTTATGAAAAATTAAATTAATGGTTTTTGGTTCTGTCCCCCCTGAATTGAATTCAAGACCAGTTAAATAAGTAAAATGTTGATAATGGGTAAGTTATTGCTTCTGAATGTAGAAAAGAGTTATTATAGAAGGCAAAGTTAGTGATGAAAGACCTCATGGTGATTGGTAAGCCTTTGGAACATTAGAGTAATGTGCTCTATCTAAATAGATGCTTTGCCTGGGCTAATTTTTCCAAGGATGAATTGATGACATACAATCAGGAGGTGTCAGAAGAGAAAGCATCCAGCCTTGAATGGCAAAACTCAATTGTTTTAGACACAATTGATAGTGGCCAGTATTGGACTCACACTAATGGTTGCTGAAACTGTTAGATTGGCTTTTTTTGTCAGATCTCAGATTTGACCTGACAGCAGCAAGCGTTTTCTATCAAAGCAGTGGTTTCTTCCCCCCTGCCCCCCCCTTCCCTGTTCTTTTTTAGTCATTTGACAATAATTTACTACTTTGCTTAGCTTTTTAGTCAGCTGTCTCCCACTCCGGAAAGCCAGGTTTCTTAAGTGCTTCTATGATGCCAAGTTAATTGCCCGAAAATAAGTGCTTGAAGATGTATCAAGTATTGTCTCATCAGCATTCAGCATCCCTGCCAGAGCATGGGAGGGGGAAGGAAGGCAAAGCCAGGAAAGTTTGAAGAAAAGAGATGGGGAACAAAGAAAAATTCAACTGTCCTGCAAATGGCCCCGAGCATGGCCAGGCAGGAAAGGTCCCTCTGGATGTGGCTGAATCCCTGCTGTACTTGCAGGTGGTCCAGTGAAATGTCATCAGTACTGCAGTGTGGACACAGGTGGGACTGATCTCTGCAGCCCCCAAATGAGAGGGGGGTCTATGCTTTTGGGTGGCCTCAGGCTTGACTCTTCCTAAAGCCAAGTTGAGGCATGTCCCTGCCTATTCAGTGTTACCACTGCCTCGTTTTCTCTGCCTCTCTATAGAGCAAGGGAGGAAAAATGGCATTCCTGGCTTGTCATTATGGTGAGGATGATTTCTAGATAAATGAGCAGTCTCAGAGGTATGCCTAAAATGCAAAGATACACAAGAGTGTTGGTGCAAATCAGAAGTGTGGAGAGCAGAGGAGAAATCACAGCTGGTGCCTGTGAGTCCACCTCGCTGCTGGTATGTAATGCAGTCAGCACAAGACTGGATAAATCACAGCATCTTTTCCTTTTTAATGGATAGTATGGGGGGAAAAAAAGGGAAAAACATATAGCTACTGCAATGAAACAGGTTGATTTGAGACAGGGCAGGAAGGATTTTATTGGATAAAATACCCAGCAGCCCCATTTAAGTTTGCAAGGGACTTGGAAGGAGCTGATGAGAAGGGACGAGGAGTGAAGACAAATGCTTGATCAACATGAGAAACAGAGGCTGTGCAGAGACTGAAGTGCAAGCTGGGTCCTGCTGAAACCCCCGGTGCCTCAGCTGTGAGTAAGCCTGTGGCTCCTTGGTAGAGCACAAAAATGTTGGGGTACCTGACTGCTCAGCCCTGCTTGTCACCTTGAATTGTGTTCCCCAGATGTGGGGAGAGGAAGGGAGCTACAACCCTCTCCAGACTTGCCAGGGCTTTGCTTTATCCTCCTTTGCCAAATGCAGCCAGAGCTGCTCCCTGGGATTTAACAAATCCTCTACTATTTCAGGGCTGGAGGGTATTGGCAGTGCTCTTGATCCCTCCTGCCCCATTCTTCCTCTGACTGCTTATGCTTGACCGCATTGGACTCTGCATCCCGAGAGATTTCTTGCAGTCTTCCCTTTCTGGGACACACTGGGCAGATTTGCTCTAATGGCACCCACATTTGTGCCAGCCCACTTACCTGACCTCCGTGAGTTTCAATACCTTTCTGCTCTCCTTTAATCTGGGAGAGCAGCCCTGCTCTGTAGAGGGGCAGGCTTTTATTCCGGCTCGTGCGTTGTCAGCGGATTTGTTAACTAAGCTTTATATGTAAAACGTTTAATAAGTGTGATGTCAGCGCTTTAGAGAACCTGCCTGACTTTCACATCCCCCTGGCAGGGCCTGCAGTCAGAAATACTTGTTCTTGCACTAGAAAATTTGATGGAGGTGTGCGAATATGTGTATAGTCTGTATTAGTCACTCTGCAGAGCACACACGTTATTTGGATGCCTTTTCTACCTTTCAGCCCTCATCTTGAGATCAGAGATGTTGCAGTCCTTTACTTGATTAGGTAGGACTGAAAGTAAATGATTGCAGTTGAAAAGCACTCTGAAAATTGCTTAATATTGCTTTAATAAGGGCTCTCCATCTATATTTGTGCCTTTTGTCAGATGTGCAGCCCTCGATTAACGCCTCGGTCTTTCTTTACCAGTCACCTGTGAACGCTACCCCATTCATTGCCCGTGTTTCTGAAGGACCTTTTGCTGCAGTGTCTGTGCAGCTCTTCCATATCTCATTCACCAAACAGGCTGGGGCTGGCAATAACCAGGAAAGGAGTTTAATGAGCCAGAGAGAGCCCAGCATGCCCGGTGCAGAGATTCAGCTGCATCCTAGGTGATAAATGCTCACGTACACCTTGCTCGGTGCTCACACAGTAATGTCAGCTCAATATCAGCCCTTCAGGATGCCAAGGTGGATTTTACATTTATAATGAATGAGAATTTTATTGTTGTTCCTAGCAGCAAGGAAGTTTAGTGATAGTCCAGTTCTCAGCCTCCTGAGGAGCAGAAATGATGAAAGAAACGTCGTGGCATTCCTTGATTCATCAATCACCCAGACAAAGCATGCACTCCTAAACCATTAAAGTGTGACATCTTCTTCTCAGACTCAGAGTTTACTGACTTTAAAGCAGCAAGTCAATTAGGAAGCCAAACCTAGGCTGGGAGGAGAAGAAAAAAACACTATTAAAATACTGACTTGACATGCTTAGGTTTGTTTGATAGGCTAACAGACTGCTAATATTTAATTTAAAAAACCTGGATGCTGTCCAAAGCAAACTTATGAATAGTATAAGTCATATTAAAGCTAACTTTCATTAAGCACCAGCTTTCTCATAATTAGTTTCAGCAGAATGATACAGTTTCAGAGAAACTATGGCATTTCTTTATTTAGGTAACAGAGCTTTCTGCTAAAGGTTATTTCCAGAGGGTTACTCATCGTGTGGTGTGATGAATTTAATGGGGGATGGAAAAATACAGAAGAAAACCTGGGCCAGGAGTCCTGCTCAGCTTCGGGGGGGGAGGTGTGTTGGTTGCAGCTCTCTGTTGGAAATGCCACTATTAGTTACCCATTCAAGTACTAGGCTGGAAGAAAAATAGGAAGAAATGCAGCATTGAGTGGTTCTGAAATGACATTGTCTGCTTAAATGGCAGGCCAGGGTAATCAAATGAGTGTACTGGAAATAAAGATTTGACTGATGTGTGAGAGTGTGAGATACTTGCAGCCCTTCCATGTTTGCACCCTGTCCTGTTGCGTTGCTGTGACTGAAGTGGATCATATGTGTCCCTGCCACTGAAAGTCAAAAAGATTTGTTTCCAGAGATTTTGGACGGGTGCAGGATTTATGCATTTGCTTTTCCTTTCATTAATTGTATTAAGTTAATTGCTTATGAGGGGAGGAACATGCACAAAAATATCCAAAGGGAGCTAAGAGCCCAAATTCTTTTGCTCAAGCTGTCCTTGATTCCTTAAATAGAAATACACATGTGCAAAAATACAAAATGCATCCCAATATAATTAGATAGACATTATGATGTGTAATTAGTGATTCTTTTCATTATTATTATTATTTTAAAGCTTTTGTACTTTCACAGTAGTTCTAGCATTTGACCTAGTAAAACCTCTGCAATGATCAGGAGCAAGGGAGGATTTTTTTTTTTTTTTTTACTCTTTAGCATGTGTTTGTTTTCAATGTCCATGCCTTAGAAGCCATAATGTGCATGTGTGACAAGTGTTTGTATTTCCTGGGTGAAGGGGATGAGCTGTGGGAGATAAAGGCATCAGCAAGAAGTGCTGAATGTGGCCCTTGACACAAGTCCTGCAGCTGCTCCTCAGAGGCATGGGAGTTCATGTTCTTGACAGCTTCCCCTCCAAGGTCTTCAGATTGGCTCTTAATTGGCAAGCTCATTAGCAGGCGTGCTAACAGGAGGGAGAGCGAGCCAAATTTGTATTCTGTCAGCACTTGCTGTGAGGAGTCAGTAATCAAACAGCTTTTTAACAGTGTCCTTTTTGGTGTCTACTTCTAATGGCTCAGGTTTGTAGGTCTGCTATAAACCCCAATAAATATAACAGCCATTAATAACTGATTGACCAAAGGGATTTATGTAATCATGGGATTACAGCTGCTAATTCCTTCCTGCAGTCATGTTTCTGCATTTCATTGATCGGGGAACTGGCTGTAACACTGATTTAAACTAATGACTTGACAATGCAAGGGTGGCTTTAATGCCACTTGGATGCCAAAGGGTTGCTTGGGTGGGGAGTGATGCTTAGGCTGGTTTCACAGAACTGGAAGAGGAAGGTGGGAAATGATTGTGTGTCGTGGAGGGCAATTCTTCCAGGAATTGCAGCCAACTCACTCAGTGGTCATCTCAGAGGAGGTGGCCATGTGAGGCTGGAGTAAGCTTCCTCCTGCTCCCAAGCTGCTCCCATGACTATGCTGCATGTCTCCCCACTGTGTGTCACCAGCTGGCCACCTCATTAGGTGGCGTCTCTGTGCCCTTCCCCTAACTGGTGTATGGTGGGGGGATTGACTAACACCAGCTATCAGCTCTTTCGTGCATTTGAAACTCATGTTCTTAAAACCTCCTCAAATCTCTTCCAGAAATTACTAAGGAGCGTTTCTTCTGAGGGTACTGCCTCAGTGTTTTTCCTAACTGTCCAGGTTTCTTGTCTGAAATTTGACCCAAATTTTTCACTTGAAAACAGATTGGATTTTTTTTTCCCAGATGTGACTGAAATGAATGCAGGTGGCAGGAACGTTTGGCTTGCTGAGCACAGGATGCTCCTGAACTAGTAAGGCAGAAATACTCCAAGTTGGAGAGGTGAGGTGGATAGGGATAGGCATTGTAAGGCAGCTCTTACTGGGATGACTTGTTGCTGTCTGCTAAAAAGCTGCAACTTGAGGTAAAGCGATGAAACCTGAACCTGTTGAAATGTGTGTCAGCTCATCAGTGCTTTTAAGTAGGCTGTGGGAAGTGCCTCTAATGAACCATCTCTTTTCCATCTTAAATGAAATTATGCTGAAAAAAAAAAGCTGAATAGAAAGCATCAGATGGCAGTGGTAGACAGTCAGTGTTTGTAATGTGAAATGTGCTCTGGATTCCCCAGGCATAGGATGCAGGTGGTGCCACGTGTGCGATGCCTTTGAACGCCAAATGCGCCAGCTACATCTGAAAGGTATCAAACCCAAAATCTGAGCAGGGTGAGCAGTTATCTGCTCTGTCAGGCAAAACCCTCTGTGAAAAGTGGCTGCTGGTAGAAAAACAGACAATATGCAGAGATGAAATGCTTTTCATCTGTTTCTGAACTGGATGTTTTCCCCCAAGCTTAAATTATTTTTTGTCTTTTTTTTTCTCTTTTTTCTTTTTCTCTGTCTCAGAAAAGCAGCACTGACAGCCGCATAGTTACTGTGAATATGAAGAAAACAAATAAAAAGTACAAGTGAGCTTGCTGGGTTGATGCCCTTGCTCTCTGGTGTAGTGGTGCACAGAGCAGAGCTTTTTGTAAAGGCTGTGGATGATTTTTCTGCTGCACCCTTCCATCCAACAGCAGAAACAATTCCCAAAGGTAGCAGAAGTCTTTGCCACCCAACTCTAGGAACAATAGCCCTGTTATGCTGTTTTGGTGGGCTTCAAGAAATGAGGCCTTTCTAAGAACAGTGGTTTCTGGACAAGCTGTTGCCATTTCTGCTTCCACCCTGTTCCTAGACAGTCGTGTCTTCTCTGCTTGGGCTTGGTGCATGGGTGGTGGGCACAGCCAAGGGAAAGCTGTCCTTCCCCCAGAGGAATCTCACTTTTTCTTAACAATTCCACGTGTTTCTGTCCTCCTAGGGCTTAGTTGATATAAAAACTAATACTACAACTTTGTGTGCCTATTATTTTTTTTTTTTATTTGCCAGCAGCTCAGAAATGAGTGTTATGATTTAAATGTTGTATCTGGGCTCTGGCTCTCTTTCAGGGGACAGCATGAATGAGCAGCAGATGCTGGATTAATGTCTTGTCCTAATCTCCTTTTATTTGCAAATATCCAGTTTCTTGCAGATGGCTCTGAACAACAAAAAGCATACACAGCCTGCCTCTGGGGAAAATTAGGTTGTTTGTGGCCACTGCTGTCTGCACTATAATCCCTGCTGGCAATTTCTTCTTTTGTGACCGGAGCAAGGGTTCAGTGGCACTTTGAAGGCATGGCACAGTTAGGTGGTATTGGAAGCAGCATCTCTTTAGGCTCTGAAGCAGGGGAGGTGGAAAGAGAAAGAAGAGGACTTTCTCTTTTTAGAGAGCAGGTGGTTGCATTTGTTTCTTCTCATCACCCTTTTTACCAGTGCCACAGGAAGAGACTCAGGACAAACAGCTAATGTGAGCTTCTCTCCTTGTAGCAGGAGATGTCTTCCTGTGGCCATGGGCTGACTCTGGAGATAATTTCAAGACAGACTGTCAGCTCTCCATCTCTGCTGTCCCTAAGCTTAGCTGATGTGTAGCAAGGCAGTGCTTATTTCTGAATTTACTCTCAACTTGTCAGAGTTTCTTTTGACAAAAGAGATCAAATTTGATGTAATGAATTAAGGGCAGGGCTGGGCAATAGCTGCTCTCATGGAAGGTGGAGGAAAAAGCTGCTTATCAGGAGATAATTAATCATGAAAATCAAATGATCAGATTAATCTTTGTGACCAGGCTGTGTATCAAGTAGTGACAAGAGAAAAATGCAAGAACCTTCCATTAAAAAATAGGTGGCACAGCAGAGGAAGTGAGCCTGAGGTACTGTGTGAGATCAGGGGTACAAGGTGGTACTATAAGATTTGTCACCACTATTCAGCAAGGAGATTGTACTGTAGATGCCAATGTCACATTTTTAGCCCAAAGTGGAATGCTTTTTGATGTTAAGAAGGCAGGAAATTGCAGAAGATAATTAGCTTCCAATGATGTATCACTAAGGTATGTGAAGTAGCTTGCTGGATGCTGCCTAGGTAATCTAGGAACCAGTCTGAGGTTTTTTTATTTCTTCTTTTATTTAACATGAATTTTTGTGGGTTTATGTTGTATGAGTTATAAAGAAGATCTCTTTTTATCTCTTTGGTGGCACTGGCTGGGTTGCCAACTCTGCTAGCACTCTAGTCCCAAGGGGCATTGCAGCTCTTGAACCAGCACAGGAAGGTGAGCTCTGAGCAGAGAATAGCAGTGGCTGCAGACACTTCAGGAGAGAATCTGATGTCTTTGCCTTCAGAGCAGACAAAGACTCTCACACTTTTAGTTTGTGGCTGCATGCCTGTCAGGACTGGTAGCTCCACTAAAAGTAGTTGAAAATGAGGTTTCTCCATCACTTAAACACCTTTTAAAAGTGGGATCAGTTAGGAATATTTATTCTGTATCAACTTAAAGCATATCAAAAGTCTGTAAAATACAAACATACTAGTACTGTGAATTATAATTGTAGTGTGAGACCTACTTTTCATCAAGTCTATCATGACAGCAATAGCAGTGAAGCTGTGGCGGGACAAGACTCCCTTGTCACAGTTTCTGGCACTTGAGTCAGGCTGATTAAGCATCCTGCAGGTATGCAGACATGTGTTAGTTGCACCTCTGACAGAAATATGTCTGTGCCTTGAGGCTCCTACATTTTTGGAAGTATGGGGTTTATCTTATTTAAAGCCTGGAAATTGAAACAAGTTATGTGCAGTTTCTTTTCGCTTTGAAAGCTGACAAAATCACTCTAATATATAGACCCTATTCTAAATCCTCTGCCATCACTGGATACTCTGCCAGATATGAATAGTAAATAGGACAGGTCTGACTGGAGACAAAAAGCCTGTCTACTAATATGGTGATTTTAATGTAGCCTTTGCTCCATTTTCCCCTCTCTTCTCTTTGTTGGATTTTTTTTTTTTTTTTCTGTAATTTCATTTAAATTTGCAAAAATGTTTTTGCTGCAATATATAAGAAAGAAGCTCAGCCAGATGTGCTCTCATATACAGGTACTTCCCTAGCTAGAGGATGTGAGTCATCTGAGTGCCCAGTGCCTGTTTTTGTCTAGGCTGGGCCCTCTGGCTTTTAGGGCAGGAAGACTGTTTGGTTATTTCTGAAGGGAAAAAAAAAAAAAAAAAAATTAAAAATTGCTGTTTCCAGATGGCAATTAAGACATGTCCAGGGTTTGTGCCATGACATTTTGTTCTGTCATAACTACTTCCTTATGCTGTTGCTTTTTGATCCTTTCATCTTTTCATGGCACACTGCTGCAGGTGGCTTGGCCCAGGTGTAGCATCTCAGACAGATGACTTAAGGATCCTCTTGAAAGAAATGTTTTTTGCAGTGTTGAACAGGCTGTACTTCTTAAAAGTGGGTTAAGTGAATTTGAAATATATCCAACACTTACTCTGTGTCTCTGAATCCAGGATGTTGAAAGAGGTTTTGCAGGTGAATGTCCTCCTTGGAAGGAGTTTTATTGTTATTTTGGTTTGGTTATGGGACATTTTGTAGGTTTGGAGTGCTGACACACATCCCTAGGGAGGAAAAATATCACAAGCCATGTTGTGGCGTGTTGTCTGAGCCGAAGAAAATAATTGGGTATTGGAAATCTGTGCATGTTCTTGCTGCTGGATGGGGTCCAGTGCCTCACAGATGTCCAGCTGACAGCCTTCATGTGGGTTTTGGGTGGTTTGGGGAGCAGAGGAGGCTTACCTTGTCCCCAAGCCAACTGGGGTGATGCTGGAAGGGGGTTTGTCCCTAGATGAGCAGTAACAGTCTGCTGCAGGAGCAGTCATGGGCTGCAGCCAAATGACCACTGTTCCTTGAGCATCATTTCTGTTCCTTGATGTCTGTGGAAGTGTGACTGGAAGGAATCCCTGCAGACTGACCTTTGCCACTGTGGTGTAATCCCACCTCTGCTCATTCCAGGGCATTCCTGCTGGGAGGTGCATGCTCATACTGACCAATGCTTAGTAAAGTGCCTTCATTCTGGTTTGTTGTAGGGTTTTTCGTTTTGGGCTTTTTCTGTTTCTTCCCCTCGGAGCAAACTGCCACTGTCTAATAATTCTGAGCCTGATACATCTGTAGTTTGGTACAACAGATCAAGGCAGTGCTGCCAGCTCTAAGAATAATGCTGTCTCCAAAGCACATGGAGGAGGATTAAATGGTTTTCCAGCAACCTGCTGCCATCTGTGCAAATGGTTTCCTAAAATACGCTGGTAAATGCCTGTGGGAAGAGCTGCGAGTCTGGTTGTGTTTGCAAACCAGTGAATTAGCCAGGAGTCCAGTCAGCAAGGTTAGACAGACATCAGCAGCCTGGGTGGGAAGGCAGCAGTGGGAGGGGGCAGGTACAGAGCCAGGTGTATGGAGTAATGCAGATTCCTTGGAGGTGGTGAAGGAGAAGTGGCAGCACCAGAGAACTGGGAAGTTTGGAATCCTTGCTCAGTAGAGGTGCCTCCCAGAGCATCCATGTTATTAAGCCTTTCTGAGCAGGACAGTGATGGTGCTGTTGTCATCAAATGATTGCTGTACAGGTGAGAGGCTGCTATTTCTGAAGATTAACTTTGAACCAGATTCTGCAACCTTTGCTTGCATTGAGCAGCTCGATCTTCTGAAGCCTGTGGGTTTTGGAGACAACGATTGAATGCTAAACCCAGATCAGCTTGAATATTGGTGGAATAATCTGGTTTGATTACCCCAAGTGATATATAGTGAAACTCTGTAATTAAAAGGGAGAGAGGGATCTTCAAAGCATCCTGCTTTTCATGTTGCTATCTCGCCTGAGAAATGTATCTTTCTGGGAGAAGCTTTCCCACTGAAGTGTGCCTCTCTGCAGATGGAAAAACAAATACTGATTCTGACATAAACTCTGTTCTTCCTTGAGGCCTGTGAGATAGCAGCATAAAATGTGACATTTAACATCAGCCTTTTCTAAAGGCTTCTAGATAATTGTGAAGGATTCTTTTGTTCAGACCAGTCACTTTTCACAGATCCTCTGAAAAAACTCTGGAGGCGAATATCAAAAGCAGAAACTTTCCACTCTGATCTGGAAAGCACAGCATTAAGAGGTCTGTTTTTAGCATTTGTCTTACCTTAAAACTGATAAGGCTTTAGACATCTTGCTCTTTCTGGAAACTGGTGGGTTCATGACCATGAGTTCAAAGCTGCTACACTGATGCTTGTCATACTTGAAATGAGTCCATACTTGTGACGAGCCCAGTCGTGAAAATGATCCATTATTCTGATGACCTGTGCTTGCATGAAGTCAGGATTAGTCACTGGCGCTTATTTGGTGTTCTGCCATCAGCTGGTTTATTTGGAGCTCAGGAGCTCTTTGAGGTTGAAGATTCTGGCTACTTCATGTTATACCACCTAGGGTAGTGGGGCCCAGAGCCACGATTTAAGTCTTCATTCAGCTAGAATTTTTCTGGGGAAAACGTTTTGGTTTGCAACTGGAAAACCCAAAAATAAAAGTAAATTCTTTCAGTCACCATCAACAAGGTCTCTCTTGATGGTCCCAAGTACTTTTCTGAAGGATCAGGAAGTCAGTTTGAAGCTTATAAGTACACCAGAACATACTCTTCTTTGGAGAAGTGACATTAAACAAAG